CCTTTTTTTATATGTAAAATTGGTATAATTAATATTTTTTGTTATAAATATACACATACATAATATATGTATTATGGGTTACGATACACACTCTTAAGCTATGACATTTGTGTACTATATGCAAGTTATGACATTTATGAGATTGATTATTATAAATCCCATAACGCAATATACAAGTTATTATCCAAAGGCTATGGCTAGAAAGATGCTTTTGGGCCTTGTAAGCCCACTTTTGAGTCATGTTTTGATAATCTGAACCGTTCATATTTTAGGGTTTGTCGAGTATAGCATTCTTGTAAAAAATCAAGTTGATCGGATAACAACAACCATGTATTTCGATCAGTTTTGTATTAAAAAAAATAAACGGTGAGAAAATAAATGATTCATACAAAATTAATTTGAACACGTAATTTTCGTTATTCAATCGACTTGATTTTTTTACAGGTATAAGGTATTTGACGAATCCTAAAATGTGAGTGGTTTAGATTATTGAAACAGGTCCCAAAAGTGGGCTTATTGGGCTAGACTGAATTGTCCAGTCCGATTATAGACCGGAGACAGTCTAATTCCTTATCTAAATACCAGAAAAGTGTAGCTTGCTTTTCGTGCTCCTTTCAAATACAATAGCCCTACAGTTCGGATTCCCATGGTTCTGAATTTGATCCCACAAGTGCAATGTGAAATAGATAAACACAAAAGAGTCCAAATCCAGCAAATCTTTTGAAATTTTGATTTTGAATCAAAATGCAAAAAATAGACTATTTTGCCAGATTACAGAGTCGCCACCCAAATATTTTTAAGAAATTTAAGAAACCCATAACTTGTGCCAAAGGGCACGTGTCTGTCATCACCAAAATTATCTCGGTTCGGGGATTTAGGTATGAGAGGGAAATGTCATGAATTGAGCACCCCCGCTCGCCCGATTAAAGATCAGCCTCTACTAATCATGATATGATTCTTATTTACATTATATGCTGTTATTCCGATTATTAAGCTAACCTTATTACGTGTTGCACACAAGTATAGACTAATTTGCAAAAATTGAAACACTTCGATTTCATATTTGTTTGAAAATTGTTTTGAGTGTGTATCACTTAAAAAAGTGGGCTCGTATGTAGATTCATCAAATTATCCCAATTTGAGCAACTAGCTTTCATCTACAGACATTCAAGCAGGTATAACACTTAAGCACTTAGCCTCATGGTAATCATGCTCGACATTGCAACAATCGCACATATACAACGCAGTAAAGGAATGAAATGCTCACCTAGTACTCCACGATAAGCCAAAACAAAACAAAACAATTAGAAAACTTGTATGCTCCTAACTAATGTAAAATGACTAATGCAACATATGTGAAGATGCAATTTGTAGGCTTGGCTACAAATATAGCATGTGAATCAATTTGATAATATGCGACTTTAAGCATGTTTTCAAAGAAGTATTTAAACGATAATACTTGTTAGAATGATGAACCGAGCCTAATGCATGCAAGATAAATGAATGCTTTATACATGGAAAATGCTAAAGAAAATATGATGTGCTACACTATCCATCATAAACGGGTAAATAAAAGGGAGAAAGATGTGGGATTGAAAGACATACACATTATAACAAGTTTGCCCTCGCGCAGGAGGGTCCGAATGAATAAATTAGCTAAGCTAGCTAACTAATTATTACAACACCGAATTTAACTAACTATTCTAACTAATTAAATAATTACAACACAAAATTAAATCAACTAGCTACTCTAACTAATTAATACAAATTAACCAATTAAACTAACTAATTAGTTACATTAAGGAATTAATTAACTAAGTAATTAATTACAAGTTGTATAACATTAACAAATGTAACGGGTCCCGAGGAGCAAGGAAATGACTTATACATCCACATGAATTTCTCTCCTGAAAATGCCTCTGCACTATTTTTACACCTCAGCCTCTGCTCTGCTCTGTTCTGTGAAGAAAGTGGTACTACTTAGCTGAAAAAGGTGACCGGCAGGCCAGAAGTGGTAGTTGGCCACCCACTAATAGTAGCCTGTCGCCCAGTAAAGGTGGCCTGCCGGCGACTAATGTTGATTTTCTCTTGTTACAACAGAAAACAAACAGAGCACAAACAGAGCATTCTCAGGGGATGTTTGTCCACCCTACCCCTCCTTATCATCAAACAACTCAAAGGAGTGGTTGGCTCGATTTGCAAGCCATCAATCGACGCAAATTCATTCGTGATGACTTATGAACCAAGGGGTACAATTTCAATAAATGTACAATTAAAAATTCACAAACCCCCTCCTTATCATGATATTGATCAAGGGAAGCGGTTGACATTGAAACTTGAACCATTTTCATCACTAGTTAGTACGAAATGCTTCAAGACTCAACGGGTTCAATTAATGTCTGGTTGAATCCCAAACTATTTTATTATCTTGCTCTATTTTATTCCAATTTTAACACCTCTTTTAATTACCTTTCCATTCATTAGTCATTTTAGTTCAAAATGAGCATTAAGTCCACTAATGGAAAGAAGTACCAAACAAAGGGTTGTTTTGTACATGAGAGAGATGTCACGCCGTTGGTAATAAACCTCCGAAGAGATTAAACCATTAAGCACAACAATCTCTATCTCAAGCTTAAACAAGTAATCGATTTAAAACGACTCTCAAAGCAAGAAAGAAGCCAAGAAATGAGAGAAGTACAGAGATGATTATAGATGATCACAAGTATGGAAAACTTAAAATAAATGCTATCAACTCAAATAGGTTGGTGTCTAACCAATTCTATGAGGACCGTTACCCTACAAGCTTGCAATACAAAGCATAAATGATGTGAACAACTTAAAACAGTCCTAAAATAAGCTAAAACAGCACTGAAATTAAGGTACAAAAAACTAAAAGAGTAAGCTAAAATAATGGATAAATTAAGCTAGTAAACAAGCCAAATAAGGGGGTGGCTAGCCCCTCTATTTTTGGGACTTCAAAACCACTTTTTTAGCCTCTGAAAACCTCTGAAAATCAGTGATAAAATGCTCAAAAAAAGTTAATGAAAATGTGGGAAACACAAGGGCAAGAGCCTAGAAGACAAGGTTCAAAGAAGGGTGATCCACCCCTCCACCTTTAATGGCTTTAAACCACAAGTTTTAGCCCACAAATACAGGTGAAAAACAACCCAAAAACAGCAATAAATGATAGAAATAAATAAAGGAAAGAAGCTTGAAGTTATACCTCTTGAAGAGGAATGATCCTTTTGAATTATAAACCACTAATTCCACACCCTTAAGAGCTAAAATACAAGCTTAAACACCTCAACAAAGAACCCTTAAGGTTTGGTTTAGAGTGTCCAGACAAAGGGTATAGAAGTTGCAAGGGAGAGAGAGAAATGTATAGAGAGAAAAATATTTTCCAAAACTTTTGCTCCCTAAATTTTTCTAACCCTAATTTTTGAGAGAGACTTCTCTATATATAGAAATATATCAAACCATCTCTAAAATATCCATACAGATACAGCTAAGGCAGTGCATGTATCTGTGGAGACAGCTGGCACAGCTGGCAAAAAGATTTGAATTTTTACACAAGTGGCCGGTAGGCCACTAGCGGGTTTGCTGGTCCCTCGAATGGTCAGGTTTGAAAAATTACTATTTTGATCCAAAAACACGACACAAGGTTTGTAGATTCAAAACGGAGGTTTCCTGTTGAGGAAATCGAGCATTTGGACAAGTGTACAAATCATCATTGGGTGATTCAATCGGTAGCGCCCAAATCGTAAGGGTGATCAAAAATGGGGTGTCTACAATATGATATAACTAATTTTTTTTAACAAAATCATAATTAAAATAATATAATAACTAACATGACAATCAATTATAACTAATACTTTAATAAGTTATCATGAAAATTCACAAAGTAGTAACCTATCAAAAAATAAAATAAAATAAAAAATCACAAAGTAGTAGGGTTTCGTTTTACTAAAAAGATATTTAAATTATAATTATTTAATTTTTTCTCTTATAAAAATTTAAAAAAATATAAAAAAAATTATCCAAAATGAATTTTTTAATCTTAAGTTAAAAAAGACAAGGGGAAATTATCAGAAAGTCCTATTTATCAATTTATTACTCCATTTGGTCCCACATTCATTCTTTTGGATTGACAAGTCCTATTTGGTATGTTTTGTAGACAGTTAGGACCCATTTTGAATTTATGTGATATGTGTATGGACAGGTTTATCCTTTTTTGTTTTTTTTCTATAGAGGTGTATATTAACATGCGGGTCTACAAACTCAAATTAACACTTTAATGGTAAAATAGTAAACAAACAACCCAAAGGACTAAACGGTTTAAAAGAAAACAATTAGGACCACATGATCTACAAGATGATAAAATAGGATTTACTGGTCAATTCCCCAAGAGACAACTATTTTTATTTTTTTTTTTGTTAAACGGAAACTAACTAGGGTGCATAACATAGAATTTCTCATGTATTATATACAGGGGTGCATGCGGTGCATTTCAGGCGGTTTATAAGTAAAATTACAAATCGAATGATGGATTAACGGATTAGTGAATTGGCAAATTACAATTTATGCAGTTTTTGACAAATTGACGGATTAAAAAATATTCTAACTAATTATCATACATTTACATAATATATAATCCTAATTTATATAATATTTTTTAGATATATGATACAAAATAATTTTACGTAATATGTTTTATATATATAATCACTAATTTGTAATAAATTTCATATCTTACATCTCTCACTTACTCATTTTTATATTGATATTTTATTAGAAGTTAATAAATGTATATATATTAATTATAGCGGAGCGGAGTGATTCGATTTATAGATTATAAATTTTAAAATTTAAATCACAATTAACAATTAGAATGATATAAATTAATACGAATCGGTGCGCTTTTAAAAAATTAGACGATTTTTTTGCCTAGCCCTAATTGTACATACATACATACATAATACGAGTAGAAACTGAAGCAATACATTCTACACATTTCCACTCTCCTCTCTCGTTTTCTCTCTCCATTCATGTCTCTCTCTCTCTCTCTGTGATAAAATTCAGAAACGGAAACGAAAAACAGGCTTGTTCTCTTTTTCAACCACCAAAAAGGCTTAATTAGGGTTTGGAATGTGGAGGTACAATGGAAGGCTCTCAACAACTCACCTCTCTCCCTAAACCCTTCACTCACGAAGAACACAAACACTCGCCTCTTCAACTCCCAGACCACCAACTAGGGTTAGGGTTTCAACCCTCTCCTCTCGATCCTGATCAGATTCTCGATCCACCACCCCCAACTGATGAGCTCGATCAGAAAACCGCCGATGAACAGCTTCAGAATCCGCAAATCGTCAGTCAAGAGCTTCAGAATCAGCAACAACCCATTTGCGAAGAGCTTCGAAATCAGGAAACCACCGATGAAGTGCTTCTGAATCAGCAAAACGTCAATCGAGAGCTTCAGAATCAGGAGGGAATCAATGAAGAGCTTCAGAATCTGGTTTTGGAAGAGAGGGAAAAAGTGAGCGAGAAGGGTTTGGATCGCGAAGACGATGGTGAGGGAGCAGAGAGCAAAGCCGAGGAGAAGAAGGGTGATCGTGAAGTGAGCGATGATGATGCTGAGGGTATTGATGGTGGAAATGATAGTGGTGATGATGATGATAGGAGTGAGAATGAGAATCAAGATGAGAATGGAAATGAGAATGTTGGAGGAGAGACTGGGTTGGTAGCGGGATCGAAGGACCGGAGCTATAGAAAATACAATTATCCATTGAAACCTGATGCCGAAGATTGTTCCTATTATATGCGAACGGGGTTGTGCAAGTTCGGATCGAATTGCAAGTTCAATCACCCTCCCAGAATGAAAAATCAGGTATACTTCAGTTTGATATTTTCTAAAATTAAAGATGAATATTGATTGATGTGTATGAGTGGGACATTGATACTTAGGCGTTTCAGTTGTCTCTGTGGAATTTAATGGTTTTTCTCTGTTCTATATTTGATGGGTTTTAGCTGGTAAATTTGAGTTTTTTTATTTATTTTTTATTTCTTATTGGTTTTGTTTCATTGTTGATTGCTTTGTTGGGTTGTAATTAATTGTTTGTTTCTTATGTTACTGAAGGCTCCAAAGGAGAAGATCAGGGAGAAGGAAGAATATCCGGAAAGGCCGGGACAGACTGAATGCAAGGTTATGATTATTATTGTTATGATTATACACGTTCTTATCTAACATCACGTGGATGAAAAAGATACATTTCTTGTCGGATTTGTTATTGTCAAGGTTTTTCCTGCCGTGATCTTTCATTTGCATGTCATATGTGATATTTGTCGCTAATTTTGGGTATATTGAGAGGCAAGCAATAGCTAGACTAACTAAAGTGAGAATCTTTATAAAGCAAAAGATTCAGTCAGTTTTTGAATTATACCTTCCCCAGAGACATAGATTTGCATCTATACTTAGTGTCTTTGTGTTGGGCTCATTGTATCGTTCCTTTGTCGGAAAATATCATTTAGTTAAATTTTAGCCTAATGTGTGTTTACAATGCGGTTTCTTTATTTGAGGAATTACATGTGTAATTGATATGCAATAGTCCATGGGTAATGCTTCAAGGTTTGGTGAGGCTTGGCCCATGAAAATGGCCTATCAATTGAGCCAGTGGGCCCACAATCAGTAGGAGAAAATGCTTATGCTTCTAGCTAGCTGTCCTAGTCTATTGAGTTTGCACATATGCGCTAGCGTAATTGATAACTAATTTGTTGATAGGTGTGTATCCTGCTGAGTGTTATCCGTGTCATGAAGGTAAAACTAGCCCTTCCTCTCTGTTTCCAAAAAATGACAGGGTTAATGCGGGAGTCCAGGCATAACCACAAGCTTCAGTGAAATCTACTAGTCCCTTACTGTGGCCACCAGACCAACACATCCATACATACTATCTCTGGTGAGCCATTCCGTTAGGGTCATGTGTGGGGTTGCACCATTCCTCAATGGGGGACCATGGCGTGGTGCTTCTGTTCTGCATGGGTGTCTAGAGTCAACAGTCAAGTGTCAGGCTGACTCTGGTAGGAAGCACCGCAGAATTGAAGGCCTATTCACTGGAAAAATAACTGTAGAGGCATTGGCCCTTGATACCCCAAAATAAAACCTTCTTGTGTGGTTAAGTTCCAATGTACCACAAAGGCAGTTCTGGCATCACCTGGCACCTGCTGAATAATGCCTAACATAGGGCAAACTATTTTCTTTTCTTCCCCCCTCCCCCTCCCCCTCCTACTGTCAACGGGGTGAAACTTAATGGATCACTCTGGGTATGGTTGCATTTTTCATAATAGGAGTTTTTCTAAAATAGTACTCTTTTTATTATCCGATCACGTAATTTTGCATTGTTTTTTTTTCCTTTCCTAAATCAACGGTCTTGAGGATTTATGCATTTGGTCAATTTATAGTAGTAGTATGCAATATATATGTGAGAAAACTCCCTCCCTCTTCACATCTCTGGTGGCTTGAAATTCTGTGTGAAATATTAGGCTCTATAATCCATTTTAGCTGTGGAAGGCCATTTCCTCCAGTGATTTGGGCCCGAATTTATGTAAAAAATACATGTCTATAATTTTGTTAAATTGTTTTCCCAAATTATTTGTCTTTCTGATGTTTGATTAAAGTGTTGGAAATCTACAAACATTGGTGTCAGTCAGATCCATTGATCTAGAACCATATTTGTTCAAGATTTTCGTAAGAACCTTTGAACCCAGGGAAAATCTTTGTGGCACACTTTTTTCGGTCCTCGCAAGAGATTTTGTGCAATAGATTTAGCATCCACAAACTTTTGATAGTAATCTATGCTCTCTAATGCAAAACAATCACATCTTGATTTTGGGCAAATTGATGTTGTCATTTGATGCATTGCTTATATGTTACTAGTTAAATCCAATATTAATGTAACACAGTTTTGAAGTCATATAAGAAATGAAAAACTGGTTCTTGCATTGTTTAAACTGTCAACAGTGTCAATTCCCCAGCATGAGTTTTTATTATCGCGAAGTATCACATATTTGAATACAGTTATCGTTATTTATCAAATATGTTTCTATCTAACAAAGACTGTTGGATTTAATGAAGACATCGAGGAAAAAAGAGTTTTTCGAAAGATTTTCCATCACTTAGTGATGAAGATATGATCATGAAAGCATTATTGTATGTAATAATATTCCTACATGTGCTGGCCCAGAACTTAAAAGAACGAGGGGGTTTAGAGGTTCTTCCAAGCTTTTAAATGAGTAGGTCTTCAAGTTACTGCAATTCATAGTGCTAAGTCATGGTAATTCAAAGTGAATACCTTGTTATTTTGCTCCTGCTTTCCCTGTTTTCCCAAAGCTTATCTAAGTCATGGTAATTCAAAGTGAATACCTTGTTATTTTGCTCCTGCTTTCCCTGTTTTCCCAAAGCTTATCCATTTATCTTTCAGAAGGGTAAAGTTTCTGATATGTGGCTATCAGATGACACTGACATTCACTTGACCTTGCTGTATTATTATCTGTTTGGTTGAGTAGTATATGCATGGACTACTGTTTTTACTAATATCAATCTCACGGTGTTATAATCCTTATCTTGAGTTGGTTGCAGTATTATCTGCGGTCTGGAGGGTGTAAGTATGGAAAAGCTTGTAGATACAATCACAGTAGAGGAAAAGGTCCAGTAGCTCCAGTGGCTCCAGTAGTAGAGTTCAACTTTCTGGGTCTGCCAATCCGGCCGGTATCACTTTTATACATCGTTTCAAAATTTTATTTAATACCTGTCCTTAATACCATACGAAATTTAACTTGATTCATCTCTCATGATTTCCTGGTTATATAAAGGTTATGTTTAGTAGTTTCTGTCTTTTGGAACAGTTTTCCACAAATATCCTGACAAGGTTAAAATTCATTCCAGGGAGAAAGAGAGTGCCCCTACTACATGCGCAATGGCTCCTGCAAGTATGAATCAAACTGCAGGTTTAATCACCCTGATCCAACTGCTGTGGGAGGAGGTGACACTCCTTGTGGATATGGTAATGATGGACCTGTTTCATTACAAGGTGCATCTCAACCAACTATTTCATCTTGGTCGACGCCAAGAGTGTTGAATGAGACTACTGTTCCTTTTGTTCCAGTGATGTTTTCGCCAACCCAAGGGGTTTCTTCCTCAAATCTGGAATGGAATGGTTATCAGGTATTTTGTTACTCTTATGCTACAATTTGAAGCCAAGTAACTTTCATTGCCTTGAGAAATTATTATCACCAACACTAGTATTAGTCTTCTTTTGAGTTGGGGGCTATTTCTATGGCTAATCTGTTCTATGGGCCCAAACATGTAATTGAGGGGGTTGCGGATGCACCAAAAAGAGCTGTGGATATCAGCCCCTTTCGTTATTGTTATCTGAAATATGGTATTCTCTTCATTTTCTCCTATCTTTTATGCTCTTTTTTTCTGTAATAAGCAGCTCAAGATGGTATTGCGAACACTTTATCGGAGATAACTTGAGATTCTGATTTGTTGCTATTGGGTTTTTAATTCATTTGTTTCACTTTCTTTCATCTGTATTATAGATAAATGCCAAAGACACTGGTAATTTGAACAAATTAATTGTGTTTTCCAATAAATTATTATATTTAAAATGTGATTAGAACACAGCATTTATACTACTGCATCAGTATCCTTGTTAGTTTGTAAGCTTGATTTAATCTACTGTTTGGAGATGGTATGATATTCAATTCTCATTGTGGACTCTATTTTTTTCCTGAGATACTTTATCAAAACTACTTTTCAAAGGCTCTTGGAGCATAACACTTGGGATGTCAATTGACACAAAGCTCTTGAGAAAATGCCCAAAAGCTTTAAACGTAGTGTATCTCTGCATGTATTTGTGGGTCACGTCCCCTAATCAACTCATCCAGTATTTGACCCTAAGGGTATGCCGTTTGAGCATGACACACTTCTTTTGAAACTCTAGAAAAGGGGGAAAAAAAGAAAGAAAATTTGTTTGGACATGTGGGGGCTTGTCTTCATCTTCATTTGTCACCCCAAAAAAGAAATACTTGGGAGTCCGAAGCACCAAGTTGCCTCCCAGCAACCCCAAGTGTTCCTTGTATATTTATAATGGTTAATGAAATGAGTTAGATTAGTACTCTATGTTTACTGTGCTTTCTCCCCTTATATTAACTCTCTCTCTCTCTCTGTCTCTAATCTTGTCCCCATTCACTTTGTGTCTTGTCAAGGCACCTGTATACCCTACACCAGTAAGGAGCCTGCCTACACCACCAGCATTCCTTAACACTCCGGCTGATGCCAATTTCTATACACATCATACACAGCCAATGCTAGTTGATGAATTTCCTGAACGACCAGGCCAACCTGAATGCAGTTATTTCTTGAAAACCGGGGACTGTAAATATAGATCTGGATGCAAGTTTCACCATCCTAAGAATCGGATGCCGAAGACAGCTGCATCTGCTCTGACTCTAAGTGACAAAGGCCTGCCACTAAGACCAGTAAGTTCATACTTACCTTCTGATTCTGGTTTCTTTTAAAGATGCAGGCTTGGTTGGGAAAACCTTTCATAGAATGCTGTCTTCCCATTTTTGGAGCACGCATTCCTGATACCATAATGATGTAGTCTACATAAATATTTCCTGAAAGAAGGAAGATTAAATATACTCCATCTAATTGGAATCCTCTTTGTCTCTTTTTGCAATTGAATTAATATACTTCGGAAAGGACATGATGGAGCGGTGGAATCAACTAGTGATACGTGTTTCCCCTTAGTACTTTCCCAAATTGGAGGAACCAAATTCCCCCTTTTTTCTGGGAATTTTTTTTCTCAAAAGGTGTTGCTAGTCTAGATAAGGTTCTTATGAAATAGCTTTCAGTTAACTTAAGTAAATTTAAATTCTAAGAAGAGCACGGAAAACTTCTTAGAAGGTGATGATACACTTTAGACATTTCTCGAAATTTTTTTTAACCCGAACACTCTTTGGACACACGTGTCCATTGCATTATTGGTACATTGCACTTAATACATCTTGTGTATGTCCTCCAAGTATTGTTGTCTTGTATTTTTTGGAAATTGCTGGCATGTATCTCAACTTCTTAGGTTCAAATAACCAGTAACTTGAATTGAAACGTGAATTGTCTGGGTGAATGTATATTGATGGGAAATCAGTTTCCCAGATAATTATAATGCTGCATTAGTGATTGGGCTACAGAGCAATGTTGTGAAATCCTGACCGGACCGGCCGGTTGGACCGGGAACCGGGCCTTGTTCCGGTTCGGTCAACCCCCTAGAACCGGAGTAGGAGGAAAACCGGCCAAGAAATGGAAAACCGGGAGACCCGGCGGTTGAACCAGGAAAACCGGTGACCCGGACCGGGTTTGGTGGTTTGGACCGGTGATTTTTTCTTTTTATTTTCTTTCTTTCTTTCTTATATATTTATATATATATATATATATATATTATAAATATATTTTAAAATTTTTTATCAATTATGACTTTATTAAATATTATTAATAAATATTATACAACAATTTTTATTTTTATTTGAATATTTATATATATTTTTATTTATTTATATTTTTTAATTATATAATATTAATTATGACGTCACGGTTCGACCGCTATGGCCTAACGGTTGAACTGGTGACCCGTCCACCCAATTTTTTTTCCGGTTCGCTCACCGGTCCGATTTTCAAAACATTGCTACAGAGTACACCGATGTACCTGCACAAAGATACGTCTCATCCAAAAATTGAGTACTACTGTTACCCAATTTATCCATTCATAAATAACCGAGTTTGTTCATGTCATAAAACTTAATATTTTTCATAAATAGGATTTTTCTTTTGTCATTGCTGCGATAATTATGCGTTTTGACATCTATTTTTACCTCAGGATCAGAACATCTGCTCGCATTACAACCGTTATGGTATTTGCAAGTTCGGACCTGCCTGTAAATTTGACCATCCAGTAAATTGTGGCCCCTCGGATTCTTCAGCATTGTCCGGACCAGACAAGCCTTCTCCTTCTGGCAACTCGGCAACAACATATGGGGCTAGAATGGTTGTTGGTGGTGACAATGGAAGTGAGGCTCTAATCCAGCAGCATGTGTAAGAAGTTTTGCATAATTAGGGCATCTCTAGTCTAGTGTTTTAGGATTTTGAATTTTCTTCTTAGACATGAGGATTCTCTTTTTACTTCTCAGCTCAGCTGCCACAACCTTTTCAGAGGATGGCATGATATATTTTATCATGTGTTTTATGTAAATTGTGTCTCTCTATGTCAAGTTATGAATGGATTTGGGAAATTATCATTCTCATTGGGTTTGGCAATTGCTTTTTCAGTAATTTTTTGTTGCCTTTTTTTCATTTTTAGTTATTTAACTTTCTTTTTTAGGTTCATATTAGACTAGATTGATCCAAATTAAGAAAGACTTACAAAACAAGTTTTAAAAGATTTTTTTTTTTTGGTTTTCTTTTTGTTTCAAGTAAGTGTTTTTTTTTTTGGGAAGGTGAATTTTTTACTATTTAGATCCTGAACCTAGAAAGTAATTTTTTGACATAATTTAAAAAAATTCACTGAAAACAATATAGTTGAAAAAAAAGTTATTGTTTTGGCTATGAGTAATGCTATAGACCACTAATTTATCATCACTAATACCATCACTAGTGAGGTGGCAATTGAAAAAAAAAAAAAAAAAAAAAAAAAAAAAATGAGGCACAAAATACATGTGACAGTGGGTGGGATCTACTGTCACATCATTAGAGTCACCACTAATTAGTGGTATAAAGCATTTTTGTTTGGGTATTTGGAGGTTTTAAAGTATGGTCTACACTAGTGGTCTAAAACATTTTTGTTTGATTATTTGGGGGTTTTAAAGTACGGTCTACACTATTTATCGCATGATGCTCATTAAGTTATTGTCTAAAAAGCAACACTTTTACAAAAGTGTTATATCTTACTATTTTAATCAATAAAAATAAAATTAGGACACCAAATAAACTTGTCCCAAGATATTGATTTTCCACTCATCGCATCTTGCCTGTCTCAGTTATACCCTGCATAGTAACCTTGGCTGACCCACATTTGACGCTATAATAACGAACAAAAGCCATGTTGATTCCAAGATTTTTAACATTTTTATTGCTGTGATTCTTCCAACTGTAACATGTCCAAGTAATCCATTGAGTTCCATGAAACATTGATCAGTTAGGTATTTCAAACAACTCAGAAGGCAACAAAAATTGAACTACAATTGCATCTCTTCAGACTACTTTACATAGGCCATGTTTTCCACAATATTTCTCCAGGGACAGAAATCTCCCTTTGAAGTCTAATGCTAGTTTCTGTTTCCTCAAACAACAAACTATTTTCTTTGTGCATCGGTAAAAAAAAAATGCTTTTTGGGAGAGATTATTTCACCAATTGAGTTACAGGTATCTAACATATTCGTGCCTAACTATTTTTCACAAAGTGGTGACCAAATGTATAACTTGTACAAATCTTTTCATTTTCCAAGTAGATCCAATCCATTCATTTGTAGAGCTATTTACTCTATTGCAGACATTTTTGGAACCCCTCTAACGGGCATCAAACAAAAACATGATTCCAGTACCCCATGTTTCCCTACCGCAGCAAAGATGGTCCTACGCACAATATTGAATCGATGCAAGAGCCCCAAAACCATCACATCCTTCATCCAAAGGGATGTTGTCACAGCACAATGGAAGAGAAGAGAAGAAATCGAGAGAGAGAGAGAGAGAGAGATTAGTCTGCACATATATATTTTATAGATTACTAATGTTTCTGCTTATAATCAAGAAGTCAAGTCCTGACAATCGCAGAAAAAACTCTAATCCCATCAAGAAACAATATGTTTTCTTGTCCATTGCTTTCCTCTCTTTCATTCACAAAGTATAAGAAAAGCACAGGGAACAAATAAGTTTGTTTTTTTTTTTTTTTTTAAAAAAAAAAAAGCCAAATAGAGAAAAATGCACTAATCACCAGCTAGGAAGCACGGATACGGATACAGGATACGGGTACGATACAATACAGATACGACGATACGGTAAAATTTGAAAAAGTAGATACGGATACGGCGGGGATACGTTCAAAAAAAATATTTTTTTTCACAATTTTTAGTAATGTAGCATACATAAAAATAAAACTTCAACAAATTTTAGTAATGTAACATACATAAAATAAAACTTCAACAATTTTTAGTAATGTAACATACATAAAATAAAACTTCAACAATTTTTAGTAATGTAACATACATAAAATAAAACTTCAACAATTTTTAGTAATGTAACATACATAAAATAAAACTTCAACAATTTTTTTCCCCTTCATCAGTGAATATCACAGCTTCCATATCTGGTTCATCAAGAGAAAGGCTTGCAATTTCAAGTAAGCCTGCACCCTCCAATGAATCAAAAGCATCTCCACCAACACCCCATAACTTGGATTCTCCTTCAATGTACTGTCGACTTCTCCTTGATAGGAGACGAAGATTGTTGTGCACAAAAACCAAATCTTCAGCACGTTGTGGTGTCATTTTTTTTCTTTTCATGGAGTGAATAAAGGAGTAGGTGCTCCAATTCCTTTCACAGCATGATGAGGAACATGGCTGGCCAACCAATTTTAATGCTAAAGATTGAAGCATAGGAGCAGGAGACCCATGTGTAAACCACCAAATAAGTGGATCCAATACTCCTCTATCAATTTTTGAGTCAAAATCTCCAAACATATCCACACCTCCTGAAAACTTGGCATGTTCCATATTTACAACCCGTCTCTCCTCTAAATTTGGAAAGTATTTCTTGAAGCACTTGTTTCTCATACTTGAAATTTCTTCATCCCTATGAGGAGGGACACGATTGGGATTTTCATCAAGCCACGTTGAACTATAATACCTAGATTACAACATTAGAAAGTTTTAAAATTAAATTATGTTATTTATATTAAAAGACAAATGTCAACAAAGAAATGTAATTAGTAAGAGTATGAATTAAGCTATTACCTTGGATTCAAAGAATGTGCAAGGCAATGAAGAGGAGTGTTACTTTTGGACCACCTTTCAACTAGTATATTGTGCACAACGGAATAAAAGATTGATTCCTCATGATCTAGCTTCCTTTCATGCCTAAAGATGTTTGCCTTCACCTTTTCAATCATGGTGTCCTACATTTCATAGACTAAGTGAAGGCATGGTTTGTCAGTGTCACAAAACCTAAGCATCTTATAGATAGGCAATGTAAAAGTTAAAATATAATCGATCTTATCCCACCACACATCATTCAATAATTTTTCCTTCATAGATGCGGCTTTCCCAACATCGTCTTCTTTGTAAGAAACCCACTGGTCACTAATAACCATTGATTGGAGGCCACGCTTTATAAGTTTAAACCTTTTGAGCATGATAATGGCAGATGCGAAACGTGTATCTGCAATAGCAAGCAACTTCAAGGGTACAAATTCATTGAAAATAGCTAGCCGCATGGAATGGTTCATGATGAAGTTTTTGATAAACATCACATCATCAACACAAAGTGTGATCCAGTGACATTCATCATAAGCAAAAGCAGTACCCCCTGTTTCCTTTGGAGCACAAATGTTCTTAAGAGCAAGATTCAATGTGTGAACTGTGTGGGTGAAAATCTGACCACACTGCTTGCTTAGTGATCAGCTGGAGAGCACAGGCAGAATAGATGGCTTCAACAACCTGTAACAGAAAGAAAAGGCTCCGGCGGTGGTTCTTCCACCCGGGGGCACTCCGACGATCAAGTCAGTATATCTCTCAAAGATAATCAAGTGCTAAACTTAATACTCAAAACATAAATTGCATACCTTAGACCCATGGGGGTGCCTCTCTTTTATAATATACTCAATCCAAGTCCTACTAGAAGTATGACTTCTATGAATTCCAATTCTGTGCTTACTTTGGACTCCTCATGAGATAAAGATAAATTCCCTAAGAGTTTTATCCTTATCTTGGTTGAGTCCCTTCTTCGTCTTAGGACTCTTGTCCCTTATCCGTTAATCTCGGACTTCGATGTCTTCGGAGATAACCTCGGCCATACCGAGATCACCTCGGCCTAACTACCACGACACGTGGCACCTCGGCTGACACGTCGGCGTCACTATGCCACGTCGGAGATAACCTCGACCATAGGACATTCTGAGGTGATGGAACCTATATTGATATTTCTTTCTGAACTGTGGCCAAGAAACCTGTTTGGCCGAGATAACTCTTTTCCAAGCCGATGTGTTCGCTTCTGAGAACAAGAATTCAAATGTACTCCATCACGTGCATGAGCTGTCATGCATATCTAACCGTTCCTTTCACGTGTTTTGTTTTTATTGGCTCGTTCCTGCGACGCGCCTTAAGGCTGTCTTTTCATCCGTCTGCGCCGTCTGACGCGTGCGTTGCTCCAGGCATAATAAATGCCCTATTTTTGCCGCCGTTTCAAGTTTTTGATAAAAACTTCTCTTTCCATTCTTTCCTTTCTTTACTTTTTGCATTCTGATTTCTTGCTTTCTCTCTCTGAAACCCCCCTTTTTTTCTTCGAATCTGTCATTGCTTCCATCTCCCTTCTGCAACTGTCTTTAATCTTCTATTCTTGCGAAGCTTTCTTTGCCGTCACAACCGATATCTGATTTCGGCGAATACTGCTTCGGCTTCATCTGTTCTGGTAAGATTCTGCTCCTTTTACTTTTAGTTCTCTTTATGTGCTTTCGTCTGCCTGTTGTCATTATTGCTTCGTTCAAAGTCTTGGATTTGTTTGTATCTCGAATCGTAGCTATATCTTGAATTCTTGCATTATTTCACCACTTTTCTTGCCATAATTCTTGACCTTTAACCCTTTGTATTCTACGTGTTTCTGATAGCCCATGGTTGTTCTTGAATCTGAAACTTTGCCATTGTTTTCCTGTTTTGTTTTGTATCTGTTCCAGATCTGTGCCTTCAATTTTGCTCTTTATATTTCTTTGGCCTGGGATTTGCGTGTAGAACCTTTAATCTTTTAGGAAAAACTGAAACAAGCCTTGGCAGTCCCTCCCTAGGTCTTTGCTGAGGTTCTTGCAACCCTTCTTTGAACGCCCATTTTCTGTAATACATTCTTCCTTTGTTTAAGTTGACATAATGGGTATGTGGAGGCATAGGGTTAATACTCCAACAAAACTCGAATACTTTAGGCAGGAATTCTCTATCCCAGCCGATGTTCACCTTAAGCTAGCTGGGGATAATGATACCATTATGCCCACAGACCATACGATGCCCTTTCCTATAGTAGCCTTCACTGAATGTGGACTTCGGCTTCCACTTGATCCCCACAGACCATACGATGCCCTTTCCTATAGTAGCTTTCACCGAATGTGGACTTCGGCTTCCACTTGATCCCTTGTTTCGCGAAGTTCTTCATTTCTACAGGCTGAACCCCATGCAACTTACTATCAACTCCTATAGGGTGATTAACGGTATTATAGCTTTAGCTAGGCAGGAGAATCTTAGGATCACCCTGGCCGACCTTCAGTACTGTTATACAATGTGCCCCCTCAACCTGAAGGAAAGGGGCTTTGTTTATTACCTTAAGCCGAGGTCTACCAAGTACAAAATTGTAGCCGACCTCCCAGACTCCAACAAGGGGGCTGGGGATGATTTTGTTATCGCTTCTGGAAATTGGGAATTTGGCCCAGATGAAGATGTCCACCTCTACCCTCTTCCTCGATCAGTAAAAGAGGGCAAGGGTAAGAGCCCTGAGCCAACACTCAGTTGTCTTTATTTAAGCTTTTAATATTTTCTGTTTCTGACGTCTGTTTCTTTGTTCTGCAGATCTTCATCAGCCACCGAAAAATTTCCGTCAATCCTTCTTCCCAGGAACAGATCTGAAAAAACTTCTTGACCTTCCAATCCATAAACGAAAAGCCCCACTGTTACTAAACTTCATCCCTACATATAAATCCACTTTACCCGATATCCCAAGAAGGAAGAAAAAAAGTCTTTCTCCACCTTCTGCCACAACTCCTTCCACTGCTACCATATCACGGGCAGACGAAGGATCTACTTCTGACCCAGTTGATTTGCCATCTACTTCGGCCCCCTACTTAATACCAATTCCAGAACGTAAACGTCGACGAAGACTTGTGAAGACTGCCGAGATGTTTCGTCCAAGGCCTGTTGCTCAAGATCTTCTTACCGACCTTCCAACCGACGCCGATGCTGAACCAACGCATGCGATGCTCCCACCAAAGCCGAAAAGAGTAAAAAAGGCTCAGCCCAAGGCCAAGGCTACTGATGCCGAAGCTGAGGATGCTTTGCCTATTTCTCAGCTGGCAGAAAGCAAAAAATCAACCTCTGCTTCCACCAAGAGGTCTGCTGAGGCCCAACCCTCAGGGTCTACACAATCAAAAAAGCCGAGGTCATCGTCTGCGACGACCTCGACGTCCAAGAAGCCTGACGTTCCATGGGCCCCTCAACTAACTCTGGAGGATAGGCCTATTATGGCCAGCGAAAGTGCCGACGATATCAACGTTGGTGTCGCCATCAGCACTGCTCTTCTCCTTCCGAAGGACTTGGAGCGAAATGCTAAGCTCAGTGAGTATGAGAATTACGCTCTCATGCTCCAACACTCCGTTCAAGTAAGTGTTCCTGTTTGCACTTGTGATTTTTTTCTTCTGTTTCTTACTGAGAATATTTTCTAATACTTCTGTTTTTTCTTTAGGCTATCCAACATGCCCATTCATTTTCAATGCAATCTTTTGAAAATCGTCAAAGATTGGTTGATATGAAGAGGGAGACGTCCTCTCTGAAGAAGGAGATAAAGACCCTTGAATCAAAAATGAAAAAACTGGAGGATCAGGCCGAGGCTGCAACTAAAGCCCAAACTTTAGCTCTTGAGAAGGCTGAATCCACTGAGGCCGTCAAAAAAGTTACTGAGGCCGAGAAAAGAGAGGCCGAGGCTAAGAAGGCCCAAGCGGAGAAAGAGCTCCAGCAAGCCCTGTCCACCAAAGAGGCCGAAGTCAAAGAGGCCGACGAAAAGGCCTATGCACAGGGCATGGCTGATGTCACTGAGGACTATAAACTTCAAGTCAGGCAGGCATGCAACAGGGGATTTTCCCTTGGCTGGATGGCCCTGATAAAGAAGCTTGATCTTCCCGCTGACTCGCCATTGCGCCGGGCCGACGCTATTCCTTTACCATTTCCCCCACCTCCACCTGAAGGCGAATCAGAGTCTGAGGCTGATGCCGAGGATGAAGATAAGGAGATCCATGAAGAAGCCTTGGTGAGAAAACCCAAGGATGCCGCCGAAGCCAAGTCCCCTCCTCCATCTGAACAGGTTATGGACTTAACCTTGGATGAGGAGGGTGATGAGGTTGAGGAGGCAACCAAGGAAATTGTTATTGGGCAGCTATCGTCCGACCTTCTCTTGGTAGAAAGAAGTGTTGAGAATACATTAGCAGAGATTGATGCCGAGATACAAGCGAAAAAAGTGGCCGACGAGGTTCTGCCAGAATCGTCCGAGGTCCCAGTCCCTGCAGCTGCTAATACTGAAGAGTCTTGATTTAAAATGCCTTTTGTACTTTTTTCTTCTTTTTCTGCACTTTGCACTCTGTATTCTCTTTTAATTTCTGGACAATGTAAAACTTCTTCTTATGGCCGACGCAACTTTTTCAATATGTAACTGCAACTGTTCCTTTTACAGATGTTTTTAATCTTGTGATGTTCTGTTGATTGTTTCCGTCATAGTTCTATACGTAGAAATTTTCCTTTGTGCAATCTTCTCGGGGTTACATACCTCGGGTATAACTACAAAACTTTTACTTCGGCAAGATGCTGACCTGCAAACCTTGCATAAATTTTAACAAGTATAAAACATATACTACTCAATGTAAACTTTGCAAGCTTCTTCTCAAGTTTCAACAAGTATTAAACAGTGATCTCGATCTAACCTACTTGTAAATTGCTACAAATTTCAACAAGTGTTTAAACAATATACTTAGCCTTGACTTCAACCTGTAAATTTCTGTATACCTCTGCGGGTGATCATATGTCTGCTTAACATAAACTTGTGAATTGCTACAAATTTCAACAGGTGTTAAGCATCTTCCTTAGGGTGAAGCAACCCACATATTGCTTTAAGCAATAACATCGGCTTAACTTCAACTTGTAAATTGCAACAAATTTCAACAAGTGAAGATAAGGAATCAGCTTAATTCCAACTTGTAAATTGCTACAAATTTCAACAAGTGAAGAGAAACAGTAATCTCGGCTTAACTTCAACTTGTAAATTGCAACAAATTTCAACAAGTGAAGATAAGGAATCAGCTTAACTCCAACTTGTAAATTGCTACAAATTTAAACAAGTGAATTAAGGAATAATCTCAGCTTAACTTCAACTTGTAAATTGCTACAAATCTCAACAAGTGAATTAAGGAATAATCTCAGCTTAACTTCAACTTGTAAATTGCTACAAATCTCAACAAGTGAATTAAGGAATAATCTCGACTTAACTTCAACTTGTAAATTGCTACAAATTTCAACAAGCGAATTAAGGAATACCTCTATCAATCTTTGAGTCAAAATCTCCAAACATATCCAAACCTCCTGAAAACTTGGCATATTCCACATTTACAACCCGTCTCTCCTCTAAATTTGGAAAGTATTTCTTGAAGCACTTGTTTCTCATACTTGAAATTTCTTCATCCCTATGAGGAGGGACACGATTGGGATTTTCATCAAGCCACGTTGAACTATAATACCTAGATTACAACATTAGAAAGTTTTAAAATTAAATTATGTTATTCATATTAAAAGACAAATGTCAACAAAGAAATGTAATTAGTAAGAGTATGAATTAAGCTATTACCTTGGATTCAAAGAATGTGCAAGGCAATGAAGAGGAGTGTTACTTTTGGACCACCTCTCAACTAGTATATTGTGCACAATGGAATAAAAGATTGATTCCTCATGATCTAGCTTCCCTTCATGCCTAAAGATGCTTGCCTTCACCTTTTCAATCATGGTGTCCCACATTTCATAGACTAAGTGAAGGCATGGTTTGTCAGTGTCACAAAACCTAAGCATCTCATAGATAGGCAATGTAAAAGACAAAATGTAATCAATCTTATCCCACTACACATCATTCAATAATTTTTCCTTCACATATGTTGCTTTCCCAACATCGTCTTCTTTGTAAGAAACCCACTGGTCACTAATAACCATTGATTGGAGGCCACGCTTTATAAGTTTAAACCTTTTGAGCATGATAATGGCAGATGCGAAACGTGTATCTGCAACAGCAAGCAACTTCAAGGGTACAAATTCATTGAAAATAGCTAGCTGCATGGAATGGTTCATGATGAAGTTTTTGATAAACATCACATCATCAACACAAAGTGTGATCCAGTGACATTCATCATAAGCAAAAGCAGTACCCCCTGTTTCCTTTGGAGCACAAATGTTCTTAAGAGCAAGATTCAATGTGTGAACTACACATGGTGTCCAAAAGATATTCAGGTACTTATTTTCAATGAGTAAACCAGCTGCACTACACACGGGAGCATTATCTGTAATGACTTGAATGACATTCTGATGTCCAACTTCTTCAATTGCTTGACTAATTAAGTTGGAAATAAAAAACTTGTCTTTATGCTCGCCTTCACAATTAACAGCTTTCAAGAACACTGCCCCAGCTTCTGATGCTCCCATAAAATTAATAAGGGGCCTTCTTTGAGAATCAGTCCATCCATCTGAAACAATACTCAACCCTTTTTCCTTCCATGATGCTCTAGTTGGCTCCAACAACCTCTCTACATTAGCCCTTTCCTTTTGAAGCAATGTAGTCCTCAACAAGTTATAACCGGGTGGTACATAACCAGGAATTGGATTGTTGGCAGCAAATTGAAATGCACTAACATAATATGGGTTCCTTGATAAATGAAAAGGTAACCCCGCTGAATAAAACATGCGAGCAATCTCAGAATGTAGTTGTTCACGTATAATTGGGTTGAATGCCTTTTCTATAGCAGAAGTTCCAGTAGCCTTTCTTTTTCTTGGCTCATACCCCTCCATCCTAAATCCTCCAATATCTAAAGCCCCTGAACTTGTTGAAGTAGATTGGGTGGAAGGTGGTAAAGGAACGTTTTTAGGCATAGCCATCTTTAACCTCTTCTCAACTTCTTCAATTTTCCTTTGCATTTCAGTAAGGTGTTGCGGAGTCACTTTGGGGCACACTCTAATCCCATTGCCAGAAAGTTTTAACAAATGTGCCTTGACCCTAAAGTATGACCCCCTGTACTCTTGTTGACAGTAATTGCATTTAAACCTAGTATTACCACCTCCTCCCAATTTTTCTAGTTTTGTAACATAACACCAAAGAGGAGCATGATCATCTTCTTCCATTGGTGTACCACTTGTTGAACCTAAACTTCCCGTACCCGAACTCATTTCCTAAAATTTATGGTAAACAAATAAAACAAAACATTAATGTAGCATCACCCATAACAACCATAATGCATCATCCTCATCCATAACAAAAAATTCATCGATTCAATTAAATTTCAACAATTTTAACAATATAACATCACCCATAACAACCATAATGCATCATCCTCATCCATAACAAAAAATTCATCGATTCAATTAAATTTCAACAATTTTAACAATATAACATCACCCATAACAACCATAATGCATCATCCTCATCCATAACAAAAAATTCATCGATTCAATTAAATTTCAACAATTTTAACAATATAACATCACCCATAACAACCATAATGCATCATCCTCATCCATAACAAAAAATTCATCGATTCAATTAAATTTCAACAATTTTAACAATATAACATCACCCATAACAACCATAATGCATCATCCTCATCCATAACAAAAAATTCATCGATTCAATTAAATTTCAACAATTTTAACAATATAACATCACCCATAACAACCATAATGCATCATCCTCATCCATAACAAAAAATTCATCGATTCAATTAAATTTCAACAATTTTAACAATATAACATCACCCATAACAACCATAATGCATCATCCTCATCCATAACAAAAAATTCATCGATTCAATTAAATTTCAACAATTTTAACAATATAACATCACCCATAACAACCATAATGCATCATCCTCATCCATAACAAAAAATTCATCGATTCAATTAAATTTCAACAATTTTAACAATATAACATCACCCATAACAACCATAATGCATCATCCTCATCCATAACAAAAAATTCATCGATTCAATTAAATTTCAACAATTTTAACAATATAACATCACCCATAACAACCATAATGCATCATCCTCATCCATAACAAAAAATTCATCGATTCAATTAAATTTCAACAATTTTAACAATATAACATCACCCATAACAACCATAATGCAATTCAATCCCAAATTAAGGGGGAAAAAATTTACAAAGTTCATTTATTTATCAATAAGTTTATTTATTTATTTATTAATAATTTTTTTTTACCTTATTTGATTTATTAATAAGTTTACAAAGTTTATAATTTTAGAAGTTGACAAATTTTATTTTTAATAAGTTTATTTATTTATTTATTTATTACTAAGTTTTTTTTACCTTATTTTATTTATTTATTTATTTGTTTGTTTTATTCAATAAACTTATTCAATTTGCAGAGTCTACATATAAGTGTTTTTTTTTTTTTTTTTACGTGATTTGCAGAGTCTAGTCTACATATATAAATAAAATAAAATAAAATAAAATAAATAAATAAACATCCAAGTCCAGAAGGCAGAACAGAATCACAGATCGACATCTCGAACTCGAACCAGAGTCGAGACAGACAGATCGAGCGAGATACCACTTGCCATTTCTCACTATTTTTTATATTTTTAAAATTTTTAAAACATTTTTTCAATTACCAAACACGTTTGTAGTTTATGTTTTTCTAAAAATAAACAAAAACCAGTTTATAAAATTTTTGTAAATATAAACTGAAAACGTAAATGTTACCAAACACATTTTTTTTTACGTGATTTGCAGAGTCTACATATAAAAAATAAAAAATAAAAAAAATGAACATCCAAGTCCAGAGTCCAGACAGACAGATCGACATCTCGAACCAGAGTTCAGACAGACAGATCGAGCGAGATCGAGAGGGAGAGGGAGAGAGAGAGAGTTCGTGACAGACAAAGGGAGCGAAAGGGAGAGAGAGAGGGACGAACTTGATCGAGATGAGATCGACGATCGGCGAGCTGCTGTTCGAGACGATCGGCGAGCTGCTTCTCCTCCTCCTTTGCGGCTGCGTCGAATTCCTAGGTAAGACAGAGTTTGGTTTATTATTTTTCAATTTTTTGTGTTTTATTTCATCTTTATTTTCATATTTTACAATTTCACCCCATTTTAAGTTTTTTAAATTATTTTTTTGCCCCGCCGTATCCATACCGTATCCATTCCGTATCCAGACCGTATCCTCACGTATCCGAAACTCAAAAATTAAAAAAAAATCGGATACTTCATTTCCCGTATCTGATACGTATCCTCGCGTATCGGGTGCGTATCCGTATCCGATACGTATCCGATACGCATACGTGACTTATTTCGGAGTATCCGTGCTTCATAGATCACCAGCCATTCTTTGCTCCATCAGTTTGCCAGGTGCAAAGATACTGCCCCCCACAGGGACTTCCCCCACCAACTCTCTCCCTAAAGCAAATTGCACTGTTCCAAATCCTCTGGAGGCATTGTGGGTTCACCCACAACAAAACCACCTCTTCTGCATTTATAATTAAAAAATACATATATTAACCTTTGAACTGTTTTACTTGATGAGAAAGTAAGGCAACTGAAGAGATTGATGGCCACTAAAATTTTACCAGGCTACAACTACAATATGTCATACCCTTGGTTGATAGGTCTCATTTTTTTTTTGTATGAATTATTGTTTCTTCGTGGTGACACAACTGGCCCAGAAGTGCCAGTAGTCCTCTTTTCATCTCTGGCTTTATTGAATATGACTGTAAATCCTTCGGCAGAGGCAGGGTTGTTCATGTCCCAATTGCCAAATTTTGGCAATGACCTACCTTTATCCTGCTGCAAATGAGAATGTTAACTACAAGAAAGAAATTTCAACTTAAATGGACAAACTGAGATGCATTCATAGGTTCAATTTTTTTTTGGGGATAAATGAGATGAATTCATAGGTACATAGCGGTATTTTTTGTTGTTGAAGAGAACAGTTCATTAATTGGAAGCTTTGTCCCACAAATGAAAGATTATGATAAAAATAAAATAGGGAGATTTGGTGATAGCCCCCTCACTATCTAATTTGTCTTTCAAAAGACAAGAATTATATAAGTACTTTTAACACCTCCTAATATTTTAAAACTTGTTTCTTTTACTATATTACTCTCATATCTATCAGCTCTCCTATTAAGTCAAATTTTACTCTGAATAAGAGTAAAATGTTACACTCTGAAACTAAAAGTAAAATTTTACTCTGTATAAAAGTAAAATTTTACTCTGAAAAACGAGTAAGCTGTGAGACTCTGAAACTAAAAGTAAAATTTTACTCTGTATAAAAGTAAAATTTTACTCTGAAAAACGAGTAAGCTGTGAGACTCTGAAACTAAAAGTAAAATTTTACTCTGTATAAAAGTAAAATTGTATTTCAGAGTAAAATTTTACTCTGTATAAAAGTAAAATTTTACACTGTGAAACTAAAAGTAAAATTTTAATCTGTATAAAAGTAAAATTTTACACTGTGAAACTAAAAGTAAAATTTTAATCTGTATAAAAGTAAAATTTTCCTCTGAAAAACTAGTAAAATGTTAGACTCTACACAAAAGTAAAATTTTACTCTGTATAAAAGT